AAGGAAAACGTTTGATTTAATAAAACTGTTTTCCGATTTTAACTCATATTTGCAAAAAAATATTTGTCATTACCTGAAAAACTTGCAATTTTTTCTATTAACTTTCAAATRTCTTGAAAATAGTTTTTGTCGAACTTTTTTTTGTTGGTGAGCACAAAAGCAATACTGAAACACTTTTTTTGACCACAATGTATATAACAGATTTTCTTATCTCATTTTTTTATTGTTTATATCAAGCTGAATTAAAAAGAAAAGTAAAAAAACTTAAAACTTCCAATATTTCATTTGGTTTTTCCTGAAAACTTTCTTGAGTCCATTCATCGATTTTAAAATGAAAATTCTTAGTCACATTTTTTTCAACAACAAAAACAAAAAAATCATCYAAATCTGCTTTTCATTGAATTATCGAAAACCAGAGATCGAACGGAGTTACAGTTCAAATTTTTGGAATGAAAAAAATTAAAAACGCTCGATTTTGATGATTTTGCATCAATTTTAGGTCATTTCAGTGTAAAAATCAAAAATTTCTCTCGGATTTTTCAATTTTTTTCTGTTTGAATTTTTTCAACAAACCTTGCGACAAGAATCCGGCCTCAATGAGCCTCGCCTCCATCAGAAGCTTCGGCACCAGCAGACAAAACGCAATGACCAGATGCACAAAAGGCGCCGTGGGGCCCCCATGTCTAAACAATCGACAACTCCCATTATTCGTCAGAATCTCATTGGCCGGCTCCTTGCTGCACGTGCTCAACTGCCGCCCCAACTTGAACCCATCATTGGCCAAATTCCCAATTTTGAACAGGGTCGCAACCAGAAACAGCGGAAGCAGCAAAATCGCGGCCCCCGTCAGGCCCAAACTGCAATTCAGCTCCAAGTACGGCACTGGCAGGTTCTCGGGCCACGCCAACAGCGAGTACCCCAGAATCCTCTTGACGCATTTGACGGCGGTGTAGGCCTGCAAGGCCGTCCCGAAGACGCCATACCACAGCGACCACAAGTTGTTCAAATGGAGGCAAGTGCAACACCCGGGCTTGGGTCTGGAGGGCTTGGGGTGCGGTTGTGGCGCTTCTGCCATTTTCGCTTTTATGTCATTGTTGTTCTCGTAAATGTTGGGGGTGCTGCGAGAGGACGAAGACATGACGAGTCACTTCGTGGCAGTGGTGGGGGGAGTGCTGGAGCGCCCCAAAGACGTCTTAAATAAATAATAATAATAACTTTATTTAACGGTAATATCCTTTACATTAAGTAATAATAAAATTATAATAGAAAACGAATCACATACCAGGTGAATAAAAAGTATGGAACCAAACGTTTTTTGCTTAAACTATTTATTTTTTTGAAAAAACTAATTGATGAGTGATAAAGTACTATAAAAATGTGATGATTTAACAAGTATAAAAATTTTCGAAATTTCCTTTTGTTTTTGAGTTCTACAAAAAAAAATATTTTTTTAAATGGCAACCCACTATAAAATCATTTTTCTCATAAAAGCTATACTCTAAGGAATACAACTATCTGCTTTATATTTAATTTTTTCAAAAAAATTTTTTCACATAAATTGCGATTTTGACAAAAAAAAATCGCATAACTCTAAAACAAAACAAAATTTCGTTCTGAAAATGCGATCATATTTTTTATATTATTTTAATTTANTGTTTTTGAGTTCTACAAAAAAAAATATTTTTTTAAATGGCAACCCACTATAAAATCATTTTTCTCATAAAAGCTATACTCTAGGGAATACAACTTTATATTTAATTTTTTCACATAAATTGCGATTTTGACAAAAAAAAATCGCATAACTCTAAAACAAAACAAAATTTCGTTCTGAAAATGCGATCACATTTTTTATATTATTTTAATTTATATTAATTATTATTTTTTGGAGGCAAATGATTAAAAATAACACGGCTTGGTTCCATACTTTATATTCACCCTGTATAAACATAATTAAAGAATACTAAATGACTAACTCAACGAAACTTTTAGAAAACACTTGAAGCTATTGAAGGATTTAAAATTAAAAAAGTCCAACTTGACACTGTACAGGGTACTGCATTTTGGATGTCTGAATAGACAAAAATTTTAGCGAAATCTAAAAAAATTCATATCTTCGTTATTATAGAAGATACGCATTTGAAATAAAGACATTATACAGGCARTTTTTAATGTAGAATTTAATAATGTAGTTAACAATTTTTTTCAGTTATTGGTTTAGCCGTAATAAGGTAAACTTGTATTTTTTTAAATAGAAATCATAGGCGGCTTTAGCAATTTTAAAAAGCTTTTTTTTTTCTGACCTAAAAAATATATATTTGTAACAGATTATTTTTTATAATTATACTTAAAAAGTGAAATACATATTTTGTTTGATAATAGTTGGCCATGGAAAAACTATTTCACTCCAAATGTGTAAATAATAATCTATAGAAGTTTTGTGAACTGTAAAATAGYTGAAAAAATAGATAAAATTATAAAAATTTAAAAAATACGATACGTTAGAAGTATTGAACAAATARGCGAGAGCATTAGAATAAAATTATTACATATTTTTAAAAAATTAAAAAAATAGAAAAAAAAATGTGTCAACAGTCAACACAATTAGAAAAAAAAATTTTTTTGATGATCTAATGGAGGTAGGATAACGTTCCACATAGACGGAATTTMGGTATTTGAATCGTCATTTTTGTGTCATATAAAATATATTTTATTGAAGAATTAAAGTGCTTTTTTTACAACACTCTAAGTATCACTAGAAGTTACAGTTGTAATGTTAGCTTGTGTAAAAACAAAGAAATGTTAATAGTCGCCAATAACTTGATTTACGATTTATTTTGCATTTTTTTCATTACTTAGTACTTAGAAAACTTTACACATTAGTGACACTGGTTGAATAATATAGTTTAAATCCTTTTAGTTGAAGAAGCAACATTTTTTCATGGCCAACTGAGAACAAAAATCAAAGATAATTTTTTGCTAAAAATGTATTATAATATTTTGTTACAAATATATATTATTTAGATAAGAAAAAAACAAGCTTTRTAAAAATGACATAGCCATCTATGATTCTCATTTAAAAAAATAGAATTTTATTTTATTACGGCTAAACAAACAATTGAAAAAAATTGTTAACTGCACTATTAAATTCTACGTAAAAAAGTGCCTATACAATGTCTTTATTTCAAATTTGTGTCTTCTTTAATAAGAAAGATATGAATTTTTTTAGATTTCGTTAAAATGTCAATTTTTGTCTATAAGTCGAAAACAAAAGACGATAGCGGGGGGGAATGCGGTTTTAACCACTAGTATTTCCTCAAAAAATGAGCCCCAGAATGTTATACTCGTTTTTGGCTAAACCTCTTAGTTTTGGAGATTCCCTATTCGGACATCTAAAATGCAGCACCCTGTACATGTTACAAATTCTTAAAAGATCATTTAGAGGAGAATTAAACAGATAATTATTGTGTGCAAACGAAATTTTGAATAATTGGTTTGATCTACTATTCTACTGTGGAACGTGAAAATTAATTAAATTTAGTATTGAAGTCTCATTAATCAAATTATTTAAAAGTTTATAAACAAAACATAAAGCCTGATATCTTCTTCTAATTTCAAGTGTAGAAAGAGACAAATAATTTAATGAAATATTGTAATCATCTTGCACATAATAAAGCAGCAACCATTTTATATATTTAAAAAACTTTAACTGTATTGCTTCACGCCTACCAACATGAATTTTGTAATGCGGATTCCAGATTATCGAACCATATTCGAGGATTGAACGTATGTACGTGTGAAACAAATAGCAAATAGCTCTACAAATGATAAATTCAAGGTGTTGAATAAAAGTTAATTTACTATCAAGTAATATACCTAAATCTCTCACAGACTGTTTTACTGTAATTTTTGTACTATTAATAAAATAATTCGGTAGGGTTAGAGAGATTTTCCTGTTGAAAACTATAAACTGAAACTTTTCAACATTTAAAAACATTTTGTTATTTGCACACCAGTCTTGTAACTTATTTAAATCAGATTGTAGTACTGACATGTCACGAGATTCCGAAACCTTTCTAAATATCTTAAGATCATCAGCAAATATACGATAATCACTATTAAAATTACATCCTATATCATTAATAAAAATAATGAAAAGAAGTGGACCCAAAACAGATCCCTGTGGTACACCTGAAGGCACACTTTGTAAACCTGACATGTGACCGCCAATTTTTACTTGCTGGAATCGATCAGTTAGAAAACTGTGAAACCACTCTAAAAGCGAGCCAGCAAATCCATAAACAGACAGTTTTTGTAATAAAATGGAATGGTTGACCTTATCAAAGACCTTACTAAAGTCTGTATATACTGAGTGTATCTCCATACCAAGACCAAAAAAGTCCACAACTTCATTAACATAGGAAAAAAGATTAGAAATAATTGAACGCTTTTCAAAAAATCCGTGCTGTTCTGGAACTATAAGGCTACTTAGCTGAGAAGTTAATTTAGAAAGTACAATGGTTTCAAATAATTTAGGAATCGTCTGGAACAAAGGGGGTTAATAAGGTGGATGATGAGGCGACAAGTTGAGGGAAAATTAGCGATTGGGGCTTTCAGGCACAACAGAATTTAATTTAATTGAAATGTGTGTTTGGAGACCAGAAATAGGTTTATGGCGTTTATGTTTCGCCGAGTTCAAAGTCAATTCAAACGAGATGTTTATAAAATGTTTTTTTCTGACAAAATAAATAATCGAATCATCAAAATTTCTTGTTGGATTTGAGAACGATAAATCGGTGGAATCTCCATGACTCACTGGATGTTGCAGAAACTGAGTAAACAACTTGAAAAAACCCTTTGTGTGTCAGATAGAATTCTCCTTGCTTTCAGCCTCGTCGTGCAAAGAGCTACTTTCCTGAAAAACTTGCAGTTTTTTCTATTTTTTTAAATTTCCTGAAAACTAACTTTAGCTTTGCTTTGAAAGCACACAAGCAATTATGTAACTGATTTTTTTCTCATTTTTTATATTGTTTATATAAAATTCAATTTAAAAGAAAACTTAAATATTTCAAAATTCCATCAGCTTGTTCCTGAAAATTTCCTTAGATCCTCAAGGTTTTTTACGGTTTTTTTTTAATCTCATGAAACTTGTTTTTCATTGCATGATTGGTGACCAAATAAAATTATTGAGTTTTTGAAATATAATTAAAATAATAAAGGTTTTTTGACCACRTTGTATGAATATGACTTCTTGTTTCCGAGTTTTCTAATTTTTTTGTTTGGTTTCTGTAAAAGTAAGGAAAACGTTTGATTTAATAAAATTGTTTCTCGATTTTAACTCATATTTGCAATAAAAATATTTGTCATTTAATGAAAAACTTGCAATTTTTTCCATTAACTTTCAAATCTCTTGAAAATAGTTTTTGTCGAACTTTTCTTGGTGAGCACAAAAGCAATACTGAGATACTTTTTTTGACCACAATGTATATAATAGATTTTCTTATTTCATTTTTTTATTGTTTATATCAAGCTGAATTAAAAAGAAAAGTAAAAAAACTGAAAACTTCCAATATTTCATTTGGTTTTTCCTGAAAACTTTCTTGAGTCCATTCATCGATTTTAAAATGAAAATTCTTAATCACATTTTTTCTTTGTTTTCCTTATTTTTATACATTTTCAAATTTTGGAAAAGTTAAAACAAAAAATAAGTCAAAACTTTTATTTATTTAAACAAATAAATTTTGATAAAAAATAAATATTAATAAATTATTTACACAAATTTAAAGAAATCCAGCAATTGGGAATTGGAAGCCTGAAAATCCTTCTAATTTTTTCTATTTTGCTTTCTAAGTTTCCTGTAACCCATTTTTCGGCCTGTTTTTTTTTTTAGACCACAGAAAACTATTTAATTAGCATAAAAAAATTATTGGTCATCTTGTACCTATACAATAACATATACATATTCCATTTTTGGAAAAATTGTTAGACTAAATTGTTGCTTTGATTTTATTTGATAATAAAATAAAAAAGTCTAGAAACAATAAAATCTGTGGCATATTTAGTGGAAAATAATATTTTTTTAACCTTTTTCGGTTGTTTACTTTTGGGAGAACAGCTAAATTTGTAGGAATCTGTCTTGTTTTTTAAGACGCCACATGCCCTTCCTGGTCCAGAAGTAAAAAGCCATTTTGGGGTGTGTAAAAACAAGGTATTTTGTTAGTTTTTAGGGCGTTCTTCAGGTAATTTTGCATTATTTTGGAAGATTTTAAGGGTTTTTTCGAGTGCCCAATTTTTGATGGTCTACACATATTTGGATACTTTTGGCGTGGATAAGAATTAATGCTTTTTGAAAGGTTTTAGGCTTTTTTCGGTTGACTTTTGGGAAAACAGCTAAACTTGTAAGATTTTGCCTTGTTTTTTAAGACGCCAAATGTCGTGGCCCAGAAGTAACATTTTATACTCTACTTAAATTAAACAAAAAATTGTTATTTGAAACTCTGAACTACCCAAATTCTGCAAAAAAACACAAAAAGTAAATTATTACGAAAAATGTAATCATTATTTTAAAAGATTGTATCTACTAAACTGCTGAAATAATATTGAAAAATTCATTGAAATAATATAGAGGTTGCATTTAAGCTCAGTAAACAATTTGGAAAACTCCCGTATGTCAGATTCCATTTTCATGTCTAAACGTTTCAGAGCTTTGTTATTTCCTGAAAACTCTTAAATCCTCGCGATTTTCTTTGAAATCTCCTGAAACCTATTTTTCGTCCAATTTTCCTTTACGAAACCACACGCAAAAGAATCATTTGAACCATTTAACTGACTAAATCGTGCTGAAATAAATAAAAACAGACAACGATGCTCCATTTAAGTCGATTTCAGAAATCGAGAAAAATAACAAGCTGTTAAAATCGATTTTTTCTGGTATTAAAGTTTCAGGAGTCCTGAAATCTCCACTCAACTGTAAAAAATCGCTCGAAAGCACTCAAACTGATAAAAACTCGATTTCAGTCCCTGAAAGATGTAAAATCAAATTTCATGTAACAAAGTTTAAAGTTTCAAGAGTGTTTTAAAGTGCTTATCAGCAAAAAACACATTTCCATCCCGGAAACGCAAACCCGAATTTCCAATTTAAGCCCTTGTAATTCCGGCATCATCGTTCTAAACGGTTTGTTTTGAATCGATAATTCCGGTGTGTCACTTCCGGATTCCGGTAGCGAGACGAATTATTGCGAATCTTGCGATAGGTGCTTAAATAAATGAGGCGTGAAAATACCGGAAGAGTAATCGAAGAAATTTTCAGGAATTTTTTCAGACCACACCTAGGCGAAAATATCCCGAACCAATTACGATGGTCAATGCCCTGCCATTGTTTTGATTGGCGCAAGATCTCGAAATAAAAAAAACTCCGGTGCGAATGAGAGTCGAGTTCTTACCATTTTCGCAGCGCAACTGGTTTTTCGCTGTTCACATCGCAATTAAACCATCACAAGGACACTTGTGCTCACTCGACCTTCTTGTCAAAGATGCCGACGCTTCCATACACATAACCGCGCCAAGCCGTCTATTCAGGCGTCGCGAGCGTCGCAGGAAGTTAGTTTTGATCCGGCAACAATACTACGCGCCATGGCGGACATGCGCCCTGCCGGATTATTGATTCCGACGTCGATATTCACACAAGTTGCGAGATATTAAGATTCAAAACGAGACGGAGGAAGTTACTGAAGTTATTACCGATGCAGGAAGTTGTGGACACCACCAAGTCCAATAAATACTACGCGAGATAAATAAACTCAAATGATTGTTTGTCTATGACGAGTTACGAGCGACGATGAAAAATTTTGCCGGTTTCAGGGTGTTAAATGATGGAAACAAGCCGATTTTTCTATTTTCATCCACTGCTGAAGACGTGATATTCTTATTAAAGAAACTTTTTCATTTTGTTCAAAAGTTGCAATATTACACTTATAAGATGTTGGGTATATTTGACAAGAGTTAAGCTGCAGATTGGAGATATTTTATATTAAACTGAACTTTTTTTTTATACAGAATCTGGGCAGAAAAACTGAAAAATTATCCAATTATGTGTCTACGTGAAACTACCTACTTGTGGTACTTATTAAATTGTGAATTACCATTTTAAAAAAATCATATTGATCGAACATTTCTACGTTTTTTAACGAATTCAGATTTTTTTTCGATTCTCCAACGTTTCATGTACTTTTTTCAGTAAAAACATATTCTCAAAATTGAAAAACTGCAAACAACTTTTAATTTTTCATGTGTTTTTTCCTGAAACCTTTTTTAGTTCTTTAAGATTTTTCTGATTTTTTCCTTATCTTATGAAAAATTTTGTGATTAAATAATTTTGTTGAGGTTGTGAAATAACACATATTCACCTTGTATACCAGGTGAATAAATAGTATGGAACGAAGCGTTTTTCTCGTAAACTAACCACTTTACAAAAAAATAATTAATGTAGCGTAAAGTCCAATTAAAATGTGACCATTTATCAAGAATAACATTTTTCGAAATTTCTTTTAGTTTTCGGGTTTTAGAAAAAAAATTTTTTTTTAAATGGCAATCCACCATGATAATTTTTTTAATTAAAGATTATGATCTAAAAATGACCTTTAATTAAATAAAATTGTTTTTTAGCCAGTACTTTTTTTAATTAATTATTAAAGTTGCCTTCCGAGCTCATCACGAAAATTTTCCGAACTTAACCGAAGTGGTTGTTTCATGCTTTTCGTCATGGGAGAGCGCTGATTTCTATGCAGGTGCTTTGGGGTGGTTTCGAATGGACTAAAAATAGAAGAAAATGATTTGTTTTTACATTTTTTGATCCATCCGGAACCACCCCAAAGCACCTGCACCAAAAATCAACGAGGAAAGTCATGAAACGACTCCCTCGTTCAAGTTCGGAAAATCTTCGTGATGGGCTCAGAACGCAACTTTAACAATTTATTAAAAAAAAGTACTGACTAGAAAACAATTCTGTTTAATTAGAGGTCATTTTTAGATCATAATCTTTAATTAAAAAAATTACCATAGTGGGTTGCCATTTAAAAAAAAAATATTTTTCCAGAACTCGAAAACTAAAAAAAATTTCAAAAAATGTTATTCTTGATAAATGGTCACATTTTAATTGGACTTTACGCTACACTAATTATTTTTTTGTAAAGTGGTTAGTTTACGAGAAAAACGCTTCGTTCTATACTTTTTATTCACCTGGTATATGTTTCCGTGTTTTTTTAATTTTAATTTTTGCTTTTATTCTTTGCTACTGCTCTTATGACTATTCTTTCTTTAATAATTTTAAAAAATTGTTTTTTCTTTTGATGTAGTGAAATTATTCATCAATTTTAACTGATATTTCCATTGAAAATTTTTTAACAAAATTCTTCTTTGTTTTCATTATTTTTATATTTTATCAAATAATAAAAAAAAATGGTTTCAGCAAAAACAAATACTCTAAAATGAAACTTGATAAAATGATCCTTGGGAGACTTTATTAACTTAAGAAAACTGAAATCTTTTAATTTTTCATGTTTCATTTTGTGTTTTCGAGTTTTTTAAATCTTTTGCTTTTATTCTTTGCTACTGCTCTTATGGCCTTTCTTTCTTTATTAATAATAAAAACAATGTTTTTTCATTTGATGTAAATTTTAATTGATATTTCCATTGAAATTTTTTTAACAAAATTCTTCTTTGTTTTCATTATTTTTATACTTTATCAAATAATGAAAAAATTAGTTTCAGCAAAAACAAATTCTCTAAAATGAATCTTGATAAAATGATCCTTGGGAGACTTTATTAAAACTTAAAAAAACTGAAATCTTTGAATTTTTCATGTATTTATTCATGAAACCTCTCCTAGGTCCTTAAGATTTTTCTGTTTATTTTTTGATAATTCCATGAAATCACTTTAATAAATTTTTTATCTGTATGACGGTTCACTATATGAATTTTTGATTTTTGAAATAAAATTAAGCAAAACATGTTTTTTGACTACTTTTTAATGTTTTTGATTTTTCTAAATTTTGATATTTGCTTTTATTTTCTACTACTGTT